TGTTTAGAATTCGGAGCCACCTGCCAAATTTGGTGACTGATAAAGCTAAAATCTAAAAATTCAGTTTACTAAATATTTCGTATAAACTTACTTTATGTTTATTAATGTTGAAGTTCAACTTAGGGTTCTTTCCTTACAGTAGAAATCAGTGTGTTCAGGTATATATTGCAAGGTAAATCAGAGTGCTTCTTACTCAATAATCCCATGTATATTCTCAGTTTCACCTAATAACAAAGGTTCTAGTCACCAGGAAGCCTGGTTATTAGTCGTGATTAAGGCAAAACATGATAACCTTCAGGAGAAGATGAAATGGGCAGGTATCTGAACTGAAGTTTAGCAATTCCTAAAAAATTCACAACAAGAGGTAGATGCTATTGTTATTGCACAATGCAGATAAGGAAACTGAGATGCCAAGATGTTAAAGTAAGTAACTTGGCAAATGCCCTCTAATGATTGGAAAGATGTAGTTAATACAGAGACAGAACACATAGGCAAATAGGACTTTCGTTTTTGAAGAATGCCAAGACCTTTTTCTATTCTTATTTTATTTTAATCACATTCTATTTTCTGGAAACCAGAAGCCTCATTCCAAAGTCTTATTCTTGGATTTCTGGCAGCTTGGACATCTACCCAAATTATTGGAATTTCAGTCATTTTTCTTTTCAAAGTACTTACTTGTAGGTGGCAGTGTTACTTTCAAATCCTACTTTGCATTTTTCTGGGGAAGATTAGAAAAAGCCATCTGGTTAACATTATCCTGAAAAATTCTTCTTTGAGTAAAGTTTCCTAAGAAGAAATTGTTAGAGCGAGACAATTAGAAATAGAAAAATTTAGAAACAGAAGCATTGCATTCTGATACTTAGAGGAATTACCTTTGTAGAAAGTTTCCCCTTAGCTCTTTTCTTATCATTTTGAGGAAAGATTCCTTTAATTAAACCCTGTTTCTTATAGCTAAGCTATGGAAGCAACCCAAATGCCCAAAAATAGATGACTGGATCAAGAATATGTGGTACATATACACAATGGAATACTACTCAGCAATCAAAAAAGATAAACACATGCAGTTTGCAGCAACATGGATGGTGCTAGAAGGGATCATGCTCAGAAATAAGAAAGCAAAAGAAAAATACCTGATGGTCTCACTCATAGCAGGAATTTAGAAAACCTAAATAAGAGACCAGGAAAAAGACTAATCAATACAAAGTAAAAATCAAAATCAACAAGCAACCATAAACCAGAGACACACTGGGGTGGGGGGGAAAGGGGCTGGGAAAGGAAGGGCTAGAGTCAAAATAAGGGGGGGTGCAATTGTATGGGGAATATAACCAAAATGAAAATGCATACATTGTGCAAAGATGAAAAAAGATGTAAGAATTATATAAATAAAATATTTAAATAAAAAAAAATAAACCCTGTTTTCTTGACAACAGGGTTTTTTCTAGTTCTTGTTGAGATTTAAACTGGTTCATATCCTGCTTGTTTGCCCTTGAATTTTGAGGTCATTTTCTAATTAGCCTTCTAGTCAGGGGTTCATTACAACCACCCTCCATCTCCCAAATAGTGACATTCTTGTAACAGAATTTGCTCAGAAGAAAATCTGGCAAATGATGGTTGCTTAGTAAATATTTGTTGTCTAAATGGCTGATTTCAATGAACGAACAAATGAATTATCGAATGAAAACCTTTCCAGGAAGGAAAGAAAAAGATCAAGGAGAGTAAATGTGAGCTTTGTAAAGAAGTGTTTGTGATACTGATTTTATTATTTTACATGTTTTAGAATTTGTTAATCTTTACATAAACCTGAAAAAGCTACATGTCCATATAATTTCAAATTAGAAAAATCAAATGCCATTCTAAAAGATGACCATTGGAAGAATGAAAAAAATTATTTCATTTAATTGAATAATTTAATTACAGTTATTCTATCCAGTTATTTGTAGCCTACTACAAAGAAAAAATTTTTAGATCCTCATTGTCTATAAATTATTCTTCCATTCACAGAGCTTTTACATTTATTTATTTATACAAGCACTGGGCACAATCAGAAGCACGGGAGGGTGAGAGAATTTACCAGAGTCAGAGCAGGGAGCAGAGCAGCAGAAGGACCGAAGTACACTGCTGAGGGGAGCAGCAGGCGGCAGGAGAGGTCTGTGCGCCATGTGGGACCCTCCTCTGGTGGCCGGGGAGCAGCCGGGGATCGAACTGGCGCTACAGAGGCTGTGGGCAGCTTTGCAACCCAGCGCTCAACTGCTGTGCTTTGCGCCACCGGGGAGGCCCAGATCTTTTACTTTTAACCTTTTACAATATTATTTTACAGTTCTCTAGTTTTCAGAATAATATAAGTTAATGACTGTGATACTAACCTGGGCCATACTGAACATGACAAAAATTTGAGATATTAATTGGCATTTATTTAATTCTTATTTTTATTTTCATAATAGGCAAGTTGCAGTTTCACATATTTTAGTCATACTGATTCTGCGATATTTTCTTAATATATTTCAGTATTTTTAAAAAGTTTCTCCAATAAGTCTTTGTTACTTTTATAATAACAGAAAGCAATAAATTCCACTAACCCCATCACCATCAGTCATTTATCACTCTGAGCTATTGTTTATAGCAATTTCTATAGCAATAGAACTTCTATTGTTATAGCAATTTCTGAAGTCATGAGAACCTATGGCAATAATATCAACTTGCAATTTCTGAGGATGCTATCGAGATGAATAAATAGAGAACTATATTCACAGAGTGCATTCTTGAACTTGCAATTATCTTCTCTTTTTGGGTATATTCTCACGCAATATATAAGATAAATTGAAATTATTGTTGATATACTTAAATCAAATACATTTTAATTTATTTCCTTTCTAGCTTTAACATAGCCATTGTTTTTGACATGTAAAATGAGAAACAGAGATAATTGCTAAATTTCATTTTAGTTCTAATAATACTTTATTACCATTTGCTGAGGTAATGCTCTAATAAATTCATTAGCAATAGCTTGTATTGCTATTTTGAATTCCTGAGAACACCATTCATTTCAATAGACAGAGTATGTTCTTAAACTGCATACAGAAGATTGCAGTTTAAAGTACATGTACTTCATGACATTGAGACACAGGGCAAGCTAGGAATTATGTAGTTTTAGGGACAGTGCAGGAGGGGACCTCTGAAGAATTTAGGGAGGCTTCAGAGATAAGGACAACCAAGGGAATGTAACCAATTCCACTAGGAAAAACAAACATCTCAGGACCAAGGACAACATTGTTTTTTTTTTTTTTTTTTTTTAATAGAGGCATGCTTTATTTATTTGTTTGCTGGTTTGTTTGTTTGTTTTGTTTATACATGCACTGGGTACAGTCAGAAGCAAGGGAGGGTGAGAGAATTCACCAGAGCCAGAGCGGGGAGCAGAGCAGGCAGAAGGACCAAAGTACACTGCTGAGGGGAGCAGCGGGCGGCAGGAGAGGTCTGTGCGCCATGTGGGACCCTCCTCTGGTGGGCGGGGAGCAGCCGGGGATCGAACCGGCGCCACAGAAGCCGCGGGCAGCTTCTCAACCCAGCGCTCAACAGCTGCGCCACCGGGGAGGCCCAAGGACAACATTGTTAAAGCTGGTCTTGGTTTCCTTCAGGTGGTAAAGGGAGGCAGAGAATGGAGAAATGGAGAGTGGTTTAATTTATGGACAACTTAGAAGGGCAGCTGTTTTACTTCAATGCAGGGATGCCCATCCAGAGGACTGGGCCATAAAGATAAAGATGCAACAAATGGGGAAAGACAAAGCTGTTAGATAAGGAATGTGAAGATCCCCCACTCAGTAGCAAATTAAGTGAGACAGAGGAGAACTAACCAATCACAAAGAGACTGGTAGAGCTTTAGAATAATGAGGGAAAAAATGTATATATTCCCTAAGACACAACTCCACTTTGGCTTCCTTGCCCCTCCCAGGCCTGGTTTCCTGGCCTGGGAGTCCTACTTTATTTCTGTTCTTTTTCTCCTCAATAAACTTTTCTTTCTCTAAACAAACCTGCCTCTTCTTGCTTGCTTGCCTGAGCGTCTGCCTGTGAAGTTCCTGCTGTGGCTTCGTGAGACACCAACCCGTGGGGGTCTAGCGGCTGGGACTCAGCACTGCCCCTGCAGGCTGGGATCTGTTCCTGGCTGGGAGACTAGGCCTGACAATTCCGTATCAACATGTGTAGGATCATACCAGACAGTGAGAAGTTAATCAGTTTGAAGAATTTAAATAGCACAATCATCTGCTCATAAACATGAACAGAAATCAATGAAATAGAAAACAAAAACGATAGAGAAAATCCATGAAATAAAACTAGTTTTGTAATTTGAGATAGTGAACTTGATAAGTCTCATTAAATTGAGCAGAAAAAAGAAAGATGAACAAATTACTGATTTCAGGAACGAGGGATGAGATTCTGTATGTAATATAAGGACGATAAAGGAATATTAAGTTTTAAATCAATAAAAATTAAACAATTTAGACATTCTCACCACTATGAAAAGCTCACTTAAGTAGAAATATTAACTATTTGAATGAGTGTTAACTAGTATGGGCGCTGAGTTTGGGTTATAGAGTTATATATATAGCACTTTCATCCCCAAGCAGTCTTAGTTCGGAGTTTTGGGGCGGGTGGGGACAAGAAATAAAGATTAATACTGATCGTGGAGACGAGTGAGGGCTAGGACTGAGAAAGGAACAGCTTCCTAGCGGAGTCACCCGATGAGAAACGAACAATAGGCAAAAATGATTTTCAGGGCAAGAGCTGCTGCACATGAACTCCGGCCAGAGGCCGAGGCAGCCTCCACCGCCAGACCTCTGTGCATTGCCCAGCCCCGCCTATTTCAGCGCAGTCTCCCAGCTCTTATCCCACTCGCGCTCCAAGCCGCGGAGCGCCCAGCTCCGGCCAAACCCACAACTCAGCAGTCGCGCGCTTGCGCACTCGAGCTTAGCGCGAAGGAGGGGGCGAGGCGGTTGCCGGAAGTGCGACCTTTCATTCCCTGCTGGCTGTTTCCATCCGGGTCACGTCGCTCGTTCCAGTGTTTCTGACAGGATTTTCTACGCCTCTTTTGGGCGAGTTTTTGATCTTCCGCCCCTTACCACCGCCCCCAACTTCCCACACCCTTGCTGGCCCTGCCTTTTCTCGTGTGGTTCCTCCCCTACCGCTGAGCCCGGGATTTAGATCGCAATCCGCATCCGGATCCGGGCCTAGCCCTTCCTCGGGCTACTCCTTTGACTCGGGCGGAAGCTGCGACCCAGCGCGCGGGGCCGTGGCTGCCCCGGCCTCGGAGCCCCTGGGCGGGCGGCGCCGGTCGCCTCTGCTTAGCCGTTCCCCAGCGACACTTGTGAGTTAGCGGGCTCAGGAAAGGGACGCGACCGTGTAGGCCCAGGTCGGGGGCGGGGCGCGGGGAACTTTTTCTGAAACTAGTGTTCTGTGTTTTGGGGGGGAGGTTAGGGTAATAGCTCTTAAATAGCCCAGACTTATGGGCGGCCTCCAGGCTGGCCTACTTTCTGAAGACTCTTAGGGCCGCTTACTTTTTACACTCGTTTTATCTTCCTTACAACCCACCCCCAGCCTAGGACCAAAAGAGGAAGATTGTTTTGGGACCCCTGCATGGTGTTTCCAAGGGTGGTGAAGAACGAAGGTAAATATCTGAGTTAATAATTTAAATTTTAAGACTTTTAGTACAATGGGTATGGAATAGTCTCAGTTCTTCACTTGGCAGTAAAATGCATAGATTACAACTCTTTTCAGATTGTTGTATACCTTCTTCCCGTTTAGCTTTTGTAGCTAGGATCTTCATTACTCTTTCTGGGCCAGAACATGAAGGATTTATGTATCTCACAACTTTGGATTATCCAAGTTCCCTATTTTATTTGATCTTTCTCAGCTCTTTGCTTAAAATGGCAATTGTTTATTTTGATTGAACAGAAAAGAGATAAAGTATAAAATGCAAGCTATTGGCAACTTGTTTAACAGATGTGTGGTATGATTTTGTGAGGAGATCATCATAACTGAACATTAAGTCTGTGTTTGTGTTACTGATAACATACTAATTTTTAAATGCTATCGCATTGTATGCTATATTCATACAAGGCTTTACACATGTATAGATTAAGCACCAAAAGGCTCATAGTAGATACTGATCAATAGCCATAATAATATTACGTTGTTGACTTAAACAGCCCCAGTTATGTCTCATGGAAATATGCTGTAACAAATTCCATGTGAAATGGGCCATTTATCAATTCTTTTTTAAAAAAGTCCATTCGAGACCACGAGACTAGATTTTTTTTTTTAACTTTTGAATTGAAACATTATTAATAAAAGGAATGCCCTTTTAAAAACTTGCTTATAGTTTTGACAGTCGGTGACAAGGATTTACGAATTGCACTTTTTGGTTTGTGGAGAACAGAAGTGGGTTTAGGGGATAATAGGCATTTGGACAAAGTGGACAGATAAATTGTTTTAGTCACTACAGTTCTGTTTTTTAATTAAAGTAGCTTGTGCTTTCCAGGAAATCCTGATGAAGGAATTATGATACTCTGAGAGTTCTTTGATTGTGGAGTAGAGGTCAAGTTTAGGACAGAAATTCCAGGTTCTAAGTCATAGGCCAAACACTGTACCCCTAAGAACTACTTTTTAAACTATTCCTTACAGTCTTGTCTCTTGTATGATTATTTATAAATAAACCCATGTAGTTTCCCATTGGCTTAACCTGATCAAGAAGCAGTTCTTAAGATTCTTTCCTAAGGCAAGAACCAACGCAACAGTTTGAAACAGTTCAAAATTTACCTCAGTTACTCATTTCTAGTGTAAAGTATTGAGAAACTGATAACTTTTAAGGTAAGAAAAACAGACCACCACCAATCGCTGGATTTTATTTATCATAAGATTTCTGACCCTGGCTGCTACAGTTAATGTGGATTAATATTTTATCAGATCATTCTGTACTTAGTAAAGAAGCCTTTAATTCAGAATATAAAAAAATATTTAAAATTTTGTGGAGGTCTTCTTAATCTGGTAGGGTAATAGTTTCGCAGAACACTAATCCCTGAAACTACATGTTCTGTTTTAAAAATGACCTCTAATCTTGTTTATGATAGATTATTGTTTTTGGTGTCATTTTTATCTTCCCCATAATAATGTTAAAATGTATTAGGGTAAGTGTTAGGAAGAAGAATTAAAATTTACAGGCTTTTGGTTTACTTCCTTATCTCTAGATAAGTGTTTATCTTGAAATTTGGGATAGGCTGACTTAAATATCTGCCCTAAAGTAAACTTTAAAATAAACTTTGTCAGCTTTTAAGACTCAGATTATTTTGTCATTAGCTTTGTAGAGTACTTCTAGACCAGAAAACATCTTTTGACTTGTTCTTAATTTGGATCTATGTAATGGGATAGAAATGAAGTCAGAACTATTGTCATTTTGAGTCTTCAAGTCTGAATAGATGTATTTAGGACTTTATTTGGATCCAGAACAAAAGCACAAGCAAATTATTTACCAATATAAAGACAACGTTTAGAATTTTAACTAAATTGAATTAAATAAATCTGAAAATAGACAATTTAATTCAATTTAATTTTCTGAATACATTCCTTCCCTTGTTCAGATCCCTGGTATTTTATATAGATCATTTTGCATTTGAATAAAATGAAACATCAGCAATATTCATTATAATGAATTGCAATTAATATATTTAATGTCAGTTAATTTCATGTTTAATGTTGTTTTGTCATAAATCCTATGAAATGGAAATTATGTTTTATGGAGAGTTGGTTCAGGGAAACTGTAAAGAAGACCAAAAAGAGTGTGAACCTAGGCAAAGGATAGAATCAGGCATTAATTGCCAGTCTTGAATCTGGCATCCTATAATTGTTGTGTACTTTTTTTTTTTAAAGATTTATTTATTTATGCATACATACAAGAGCTGGGATACTGGCCAGAGATGGGGGAGGGGGCGGTGAGAGGATTCACCAGAAACAGAGTGGGGAACAGAACAGGCAGACTGAAGTACAATGCTGAGGGGAGCAGCGGGCGAGATAGGAGAGGTCTGCTCTGCCATGTGGGTTGCTCCCTGGCCAGCTGGGGATTGAACTTGTGTTGCAGAGTCTGCAGATTGCTTCATAGTGTGGTGCTTAACCCCTTGCGCCACCAGAGAGGCACTGTTGAGTGTACTTTTAATAAAGGATGCTCCAGATACTGTATGGTTGAAGATAATTTGTCTTTCATCTGATACTGTAAATTTTCGCAGATAAACCTATTTTAAAGAAAATTGATTTTAAAACAACCTATCACAGGAAGTAAAGACTTGCCAAAGAAAATTGGCAAACTTATATTTTGGAGGTTATACTTTATCTGTGATCCAAATTTAGATATTCAGTTTCTTGGGATGAGATCTGGTGATGGCCAGAAACACTTCTCAGTCTGTTCTGAATCTCATTCTTTGTGGGCTACCTAGGGAATTTTAATCTTATAGAGTTGGGGAGGAAAAAAGCAAGGAACAAAGTATGTGTGATTTCTTTCTTCCCAGATCTTTCTCCTGTGTTGTCTCCTGCTTCAGTTTTCCCAAACATCTGGTTTCAATCACCGGAGGCAACTACAATTTTTTTTACCATTTTCTGCTCAGGTATTGTTTTCCTCTGTTCCAAAAAACTCAAAAATCTTATATAGCTCATTTTTTTGATTGATATCCTCTCATCATAAATTATGATGGCTATAAGTAGGTAAATATGTATAGCATAGTATAATAGTACATGTAACTTATAAATATGTAATAAATGATATATAATGAATATATTACGATTTCTTGTAAGTCAGAATAATCACTTTATGTTATTATGAGAACCAAATAGTAATTTTCTATATTTCTTTTTGAGTGTTTTTTTTCTTGTTACTTTATTAAGTTTGGTAAGTTTCTTTAGTAATCTTTTTAAATTTTTGACTTAATGCTCTGTGCTATAGTTATTTCTGCTCTGTTGGCAGAACCTCCTCTATGCATCAGGTACTCTGCCAGCCAATTCTCCTCTTTCTCCCTTATTTCTTGTTGAAACTTTTGCCCTTCTGCTCTAATTTAAGCCTCACCGTCATCCTGGAAAATTCCTATTTCATAGGATTTATGGGGAAATGATGTTAAAATATTAAATGACATTAAGTACATTAATTCATAATAATGAATATTGCTTGATGTTTCATTTTGTTGAAGTATAAATACATCCTGTGTCAGTCTTCTTCAATCTCAGGTTTTTTTTTTTCTTTTTTTGATACCAGATAGTATAGCTGGGTATAGAATTGTATATAGGTCAATAACATTTCCTTCAGAGCCTTGAAGCCATTCACTTCAGTATCTGTTTCCACTGGTGGTGTTGAGAAGTCCAAAACCATTTAGATTCCCAGGCTTTTGTTTATTTTTCCTTTCTGTAATATTTTGTAAACATGTTCCTGATTTTCTGAAATTTCATCATAGTATTCCTTGGTATGTATCTTTTATTTTTCAACCATGCTTTGCACTTCTTGGATCCTTCCAATATAAAGATTAGCGTTCGTCAGGCTTTGATGTTTTGTTTTATTTGGTAATTTCCTTTTTGTATTTTCTCTCTTCTTTCTGGAACTTCCATTATGGTGGACCACTGTCGGGGCCCAGATCTGAGGCCCAGACCTGAACATCCGGGTTCTTGCCTGAAGCAGGTACTGAATGTTAGCTCCAGGGAAGGTTTCAAGTTTCCTATTGTGACGACTAAACCTTTCCCCCTGCTTGCTACCGTGGCTTGTTTGCATTGGTGGTCTCTCCTTGCTAGAGATAACGAGAGACCTCCTCCTCTGAAGCCTATATAACATTGTACACATTCCTGAATAAATGAGACTGGCGATGATCCTGGCTTTGTCTCCACTCCTTGCGTACCCCTGTCCCATGCCAAGCCCCTGCTTCCTCCCCCGGGTACCCCGTTGATCTGCCCGGCTGGCCCGGACAGACCACATAGTTTGATTCTTTTATGTTTTCTTACTTATCCTTCCTCCTCTCCACCTTTACCAATTTTTCGTTTTTGTTATTTCTTTTTTTTTTTTTTTTTAAGATATATTTGTTTATGCGTACAAAAGCTGGAGCAGAGGCCAGAGATGCCGGGGCGTGTGTGCGTGTGTGTGTGTGTGTGTGTGTGTGTGTGTGTATGTATTCACCAGAGACAGAGTGGGGAACAGAATAGGCAGACTAACTGAAATACATGGCTGAGGGGAGCAGTGGGCAAGACAGGAGAGATCTGCTTCACCATGTGGATTGTTCCCTGGCCCGCCAGGGATCAAAGTCATGCTGCAGAGGCTTCAGATTGCTTCCTACTGTGGTGCTTAACCCCTTGCACCACCAGGGAGGCCCCTTTTTGTTATTTGTAAGAGATTTCCTCAATGTTATCTTTTAATTTTCTGCTGGATATTTTTGCTTTCTGTTTCATAATTTCCAAGAATTTGCTTTGTAAGCAGCATATTTTTGTTTTATATATGCAATATTTTTTAATTAATTATAGAAAGCTTCTTGAGCTTTCATCTGTTCCTGGCATTGTTTCTAAGATTTTTTTTTTCTGAGTGGTGGTCTGTGAATGTCTATTTTAAGTGAAAGATACTAGAAATCTAGTTGAAAGCTCTGTGCACTTTGGTGGGCAATTCTGTAGTGTGGTAGGTTTCACACTAGCAAACTTCCTAGGTGGAAAACTTAACTACATTTTAGCTTCTCTGTTTACTGTATTATTTGGTTACTCTGTGTTATTCCACAGATGAGTTTTCTGCTTACTGGCATTGGTAAAGTAGGCTGAGGATCCTGTTTTCACCTTATATCCATTACTCACTACTTGTTTTCCATTTGTTACCCAGTTCTTTGTAAATTTATAGCTGCCAGGAATCAATCACTGTGAAGAGTAAATACTAGGGATCAATCACTGTAAAGAGTAAATATTTTGTCTCTTGCTTAGATCAGTGAATGGTTCTGATTGCTTTGCATATAGGTTTTCCCCATTACTGTTGAATATGAAGCCTTTTATTGGAACTTCTTTATATAAGTTATTTAGTTTTTGAGGAGTGTCTCAGGATTTTATAAACAGTTGTTTGGCAATGCAAATTTCTTCCCTTAGTTGATCAGATCTGTAAGATCTAAATTCTAGGAATCTGTGTCCCTTATGCCTTTGAATAAGTTAGTTGAGAATAAATACAAGAATCTGTAGGATTTCATTAAATTTCTCTCTAAGATGGTTTCTTTTTTATCATGAGATGGTTTCTTTTTTATCATGTGGTGATAGCTTGATTTCTAAAAGATATGTTGGTGTTAGTGGATATTTATTAGGATAAATCCTTTAGAAGCTTGTGTATATCTTGCTATTGGAATAATATTGTGGGTAATCTTGTTTAAAATTCATTATTAGTAAATTTTTTACCTATAGTGTAATGTAAGACTTTTGTATATTTACACTTAAATAACTTTGCAAATGAATTTCATAAGTTGGTAACTTATTGTTTTAAATAGTAGCTATTGATTACCAAAGAGTTTTTAATATCTTTAAGCTATAGTAATTTGTCTTTCAAAACTATTCTAGGTAGAAGAATACATGTTCACTTTTAGTGAGCAAGAGCATGTTCCCAAACTCAATTTTGGGTCGCCCGCCTTTCACACCAAATCATCAACAACATAGTAACTTCTTCGCCCTGTCACCAACTCTTTATTCACACCAGCAGCTTATAGATGCACAGTTCAACTTTCAGAATGCAGAGTGAGTATGGTGATACTTTGGCCTATATCAGTTGTAAATTTCATTTTATGCTTGACACAAACCCTTTCTATACAAAATATTTGAAGGTAGAGAGTATGTTATATCTTGTTATATTTTGATCTGTGAATTTATTATCCTTTGTTGTTTTTCTTTAAAAAAAAGAGTTGAGGGCTGGGGAGGAGACTTGTACCAGTACCACAAATTGGAGGGGCCCCTCTTCTCAGCTATCTCATCTTTTTTTTTTCATTGTCTTTAGTTGTGTGGTTTTGTTTTTAAAGAAAGTGTTTATAGTTATGTTCTTTCTCTGTTTTTGGTAGCTTGTCTAGAGCTGTGTCATTACAACAGTTGACGTATGGAAATGTCAGTCCAATACAGACCTCAGCTTCCCCATTATTTCGAGGAAGGAAGTAAGTACTTATTACTTATTTGAAAATAAAATTTTGCATTTCTGATTAACTTCATAATAATATACCTTGTATTAAAATTGTGTGGACATTATGCCATAAATTTTAACTACATAACACATTGTGTATTAAGTCCTTTCTTAGGGTTTAAAAATTTTTAGGAATCATTTTGTTGACTTATTCCTGCCATTTTAAATTTTAGATGAAATGAAGCTTTTTTTTTTTTTTTTTAAGATTTATTTATTTATGCATACAAGAGCTGTGGTACAGGCCAAAATTGCGGGAGGTGAGAGGATTCACCAGAGACTGAGCAGGGAACAAAACAGGCAGACTGAAATACACTGCTGAGGGGAGCAGTGGGCAAGACAGGAGAGGTCTGCTGCGCCATGTGGGTTGCTCCCTGGCCGGCCGGGGATCGAACTTATGCTACAGAGGCTGCAGTTTGCTTCATAGTACAATGCTCAACCCCTTACGCCACCAGGGAGACCCCGAAGCTCTATTTCTTCAGAAACCCATTTTTAACTGAGATTTTAAATTAAATCAGATTAATTTTTGTATTTGTTTGCTTGGACTATCATAACAAAGTACAGCAGACTGGGTAGCTTAAACAATAGAAATTTATTTTCTCACAATTCTACAGGCTAGAATTCAAAGATGAAAGTGTTGGTAGGTTGGATTTCTTTTGAATTCTCCCTCCTTGGCTTGTAGAGGACACAATTCAATCCATAAGTAACAACTTTCTGGTAAAGTTTGCACCATTTTATCTAAAGCTTACACTAGTAAGGGTCCATGATAAATATAGTGAAAAATTTATATATGACACAAAGGCTTTCTATATAGAAGCCAGGAACTAATTTTAACCAGTTTGATGATAAGAAAGTGATATATCACATAGTAATTATAATGGAATTTTAGAGGTGATAGTTAATATTAAAGATTTGCTATTTAAATTGCTATATATAGACATTTCATTATGGTAATAGCTAATTATACTATGAGAAACACATTAGAACCTGGTAATAAATAATGAGATATTAATCCCCCAAAACCCCTAAGACTTATTGATCTACTATGTAGTAGACATTGTTTGAAGGACTTCACAAATAATGATTTGGTTGAATTTTACAATACTTCATGAGGTTTATCGCTACTCACATTATCCCTCTTCTGTTGAGTAGAAAACTGAAGCCCATTGAGGTTAAGCAGCTAGTTTTTCAGGTAGAAATGGCATTGCTGGTATTTGAACCAGGCCTTTTGGCTCTATAACCTATAATTAGAAGTACTATACTATGTGTTGTTTTACATGATTATTATTATAGAGAACTGTATAATGATGCTGAAAGTATTCACTTTATTTGGATTTTTTAATATTTTTTAGATAGCCTTCGTAGTCAGTTTGTGTTTCACAAATGAAAATAAATTACATTAGTTTGTAGTTACACATTTTTAAAACTAAAAATGTCATGCATAGTCAATAGATGTTCAGTATTTACGCTCTCAGTTATTTTCATTTAAAGAATATTATATTTCCAGCACAATACACATTTGCCTGAGTTTTAGTTATTTTGTGGGTAAAGGAGAGATGAGCTGGATTAATCACAAAGGAATAGCATGAATAAGGATAATTCTCCTTTACAACCAAAATACATTGATCATGCCAAAGAAATTTAACACTTATATAATACTAATATATAATACTAATGTATCTGGAATACATTACCTTTTCAAATTTCCTTAGTTATCCAGTGTCTTTGTAGCTTATTGAAAAATAGGTATCTCCTAATTTGATCATTCCTACTGAAGAACCAGAACACAAACTCATAGAGTCTTCTTACATATAGCACAGTTAACTTAAACTCCTTATATTGAGTTTGGATTTTTCAAATGGGATAGTTCAAATACAGAAAACTAAGCTGTTTTTTTTTTTTAAGATGATTTATTACTAGTCATTTTTCATAAGGTGTTGAAGCCATCTCTTGTGCTAAAAATGAGTATTTTAAGATCATAGAGAGCTAATAATGTAACCTTGCTGAAAAGAGTCAATATTGTCATCTATATATTTTAAGTTTTTTGATGATGAGGAAGTTATTTTTATCTTTAATTACTAAGGTATCTTGCTTGTTTTCAGGAGATTAAGCGATGAAAAAAACCTTCCTCTAGATGGTAAACGGCAGCGTTTTCATTCACCCCACCAAGAACCAACTATAGTTAACCACATAGTGCCTTTATCAGGTGAAAGAAGATACTCAATGCCACCATTGTTTCACACACACTATGTACCCGATATTGTCAGATGTGTTCCACCTTTTCGAGAAATACCATTTTTAGAGCCTAGAGAAATCACGCTGCCTGAGGCCAAAGATAAGGTAATAATAATGTAGATTTTAGCTTTGCCTTTTGAAAAATATATAATGTATTAAAAGTCTCAAAAATGTATGTCTTAGATTAAGTAGAATTTACCTTTTCTTGCTGCTTAAAATACTATTCAACAGTTTTCTAATTTGATTTTTGCCTATACTTTGTTTTTTGACAGTTTTTTAATGCAAGGACAGCTTTAGTATCAGAAAAGCAGATTGTGTCTGATTCATAAATGTATGGGATTAAAGCCCCAAATATTTGATTTCTTAGCTTAAAGAACCCAATTATTTTTATTATGGGGAAAAAAGTTTCATATGATTGGTGTATTAAGTGTTAAAAAGTATTTCCTTTTGGGCCTTTTGTATTTGTTATAATATATATTTTTTGAATGTCAAAGGGGGAATCCAGGAATCAAGGAGGAAGTAATACGTTTAAAGTGAACTAATGGAGTTCAGGTGAAGGGTGTGTCTCGTGGGGTTCTTGGGTCCCTCTGAGAAGTAATGCAGCAGAATTCGTCAGCACATGACAAAGAGGAAAGGAGAACAAGGAAGGAGAGACAGCTGTGTAGACACAGGCAGGCAGTCTCAAAGAACAAGAACTATATTTTGCCAGGGCAATGGGTGTTCTTTCATAATGTTCTTTGATGGAATTATTGTGGGAATTATCACTTTGGGGTCAGGTTGGGTTGGTTATCTAAGATTAGTAATCCTCTCTGCCCCCATCTCTGGCTGATAATCTTTTCTGACCCCTCCTTAGATTCCTGGAACCTTCCATAGCTTGTTTAGTTAAGATTTATTAATTGTCCCTAGCCCCACCTCTGGTGTTTGTCCGTGTGAGACCTCCCATCCTAATTTTTTCCTACTATAAGATTCCAGCAATATGATCAAGAAAGTTTGATGAAAAACATTTATTTGTAAATAACATTTTAAATAAATGAAGTTATGCAAATCGTAATTCTTGGATAATTACATTATGGGCATTGAGGAACAATAAGTTATTTAACACCAGTATTAGAAGCATGTCTTTTCTCCCCTCCTCCATATTTAGTGAAACCTAAAAAAGAGATTCATGTTACTTAGAAGAGTTTACACTGTACATATTTGCATTTTCTTGTCTTGTCTTGTCTATGGATTATACTTGTGGTTTTTACATGTTTAAAGCTGCTCTCGTTGTTGAGAAATATATTTGTAGGCTTGGAGAATGAACCTGAGGAGAGGTGTAGTGACTTTGTTTTCCTCATCTTTTGGGTTGCTAGCAACCAGTGTAGGCCTGAAATATAGTAATTGTACGGAAAATGTAGTGTCAAAAAGAAACTCGCTTCCTTCATTAGTTGTGCTGCTTTTTATTCCTCTGTTCTTTTTCTTGAAATGAGGTGTCATTGTATCAAAATTTGCTCTTTTAAAGTGCATGATTCAGTGCTTTGTAGTCTGTCCACAAAGTTCCGTTACTATGACCACTGATTACAGTATGTTTGCATTACTCCCCTCCCAAAAAAAGCAGCTCTCATCCTTTAACCCTTTCTTCACATGGCCTTCCCTTTCCCCACCTTTCCTCAGCCCCTGGCAACCATTTATCTATTTTTTTAATCTCTGGATTTCCCTGTTGTGGACATATAAATGGAGTCATATAATTTGTGGTTTTGCTTATTTTTCTTGGCATGTTTTCAAGGTTTGTCCATGTCCATATCAAGTATCAGTTCTTCATTCCTTCTTATAGCTGAATAGTATTCATTGTCTAGATTAAGACCATATTTTGTCCATGCATTCCTCGGTTGATGGACTTAAGAATTGTTTCCGCTTTTGGCTATTAGGAATATCTGCAAACTAGTTTTTGTGTGGAAATAATGTTTTCATTTCTCTTGGGTATATATGTACATACATAGGAATGAAATTTCTGAGTTAAATTGCTGAGTTATGTAAGTAACTTCTTCAGGAACTGCCAAAGTATTTTCTAAAATTGCTCTGTCCTTTTACATTTCTGTCAGCAATGTGTAAGTATTCCAGTTTCTCCACATCTTTGCCAATACTTGTTATTTTCTGTTTTTTAACTTTAGCCACCTTAATGCTATGAAGTGGTATCTTATGATTTTGATTTGTGTTTTCCTAATGAGTTCAGAGGTTCAGCGTTTTTTCGCGTGTGTTAGCCATTTGACTATCTTTGGAGAACTGTCTATTGAGATCCTTTGCCCATTTTTTTAAGTGTTGAATTGTAAGAGTTTTTTTTACATATTCTGGATGCTAGATTCTGGATATTAGACTCACAGGATTTGCAAATATATTCTTTCTGTGGTTTGTCTTTTTACTTTCTTGATGGTGTCCCTTGAAGCAAAAAAAAATTATTTTAATGAAGTCCACTTTATTTTTCTTTGAATGCTTTAGCTTTTGAAGTCATATCTAAGAAATCATTGCCTAATCCAAGGTTATAGATATTAATTCCTATGTGTTATTCAAAGGGTTTTATAGTTAACTCTAAGATTTAGTTCTTTGGCTCATTTTAATTTTTGTTTGTGTTGTGAAGGGGGTGTACATCCTAATTCTTTTCACTATTTGTTAAGTTGTCCTAGCTTTGGAAAAGATTCTGTCATTCTTTCTTAAAATTATAAAAGGTAAAACCAATGGGCAGGAGGAAAAAACAAAGTGAAAGGGGAAATGACTAACTTGGGATGATTTGTACCATTTATCTGACACTCCACCTTTCCTTCTTTCTCCTTTCTTTGTTTTAACATTTAAATTTTTTTTAGATTTATTTTTATTTGTTTATGCATACAAGAACTGGGTGTAGGTCAGAGATGTAGGGGGTGGGGTGAGAGGATTCACCAGAGACAGAGAGGGGAGCAGAACAGGTGGATCAACTGAAATACACTGCTGAGGGGAGCAGCGGGCTGAGACAGAAGAGGCTTGCTGCACCATGTGGATAAGCCAGGGATTGAACTCAGGCCCCAGTGGCTGGTGATAGCATGACAGTGCTTAGACTTTAACCCCTGTACCACCAGGGGTCCCCTGTTTTCACATTTGAAAGATGCTTTTGTAATGCTATAATGTGAAAGTCTGTGGTATAAATCAAATCAAACCAATTCATTTGAATGAATATGTAGGAATCTTTTACTCTGTGGGCTTTGAATATAGGTATATAGATAGACCCATAGTATATATTATGAATAGGTATTGAAATCTCTATTTTTGCATGGATTTATGTATATATACGTATATGTTACGTATATAAAATAGTTGATTATTACAACTATTATTTCTGCACATGAACTAAGATGCATGTTGAGTTTTAGTAAATTTGACCACATAATTCACATTAGTGAAGTCACATAATTTACACTGGTAAATTATCTAGTAGTCCATATCAATAACTTTTTTCTTTGTTTAGTAGCATAGACAGAGATTCTCCTGAAATTTATGCAATGAATTTTGTATAGGTTCATTCTGTAACTGAACACTTGAGAACTAATATTTATGGATTTCTCTCCTAGGCATTGTATGTGTGTTATGTTATATATATAACACCAGTAACCCCATGACATAGGTATCCTAATTTTACTGAGGCTCAGAGAACTGAATAACTCAAAGTTACAGTAAGTAAATGATAACTAAGATTTGATCTTGGTCTCTAATAATACAAAAAGGAGAAATTCTAAATGCTTAAAATCAAGGATAGCAAGGTGATAGTGTTAGAACGGACCATAATGCCAGAGTAGTCTGTGACATTAATAGTTAATATTTATTGAGAGTCTTTCACCTAGATCTTGGTTGTAAATTTCATTGAGATATTTGCAACTATGCAAAATTCTGCTTTAACATTTGTGCTCTTGAGAAACATCATGTTTTGCAAATTATGCATTAAGACTGTGGCAAAACAGGACTGTTGCCTACTACTTAAGACCTAAAAATTTTGTAACCAGAACACTAACAAGAATATTAATTTATAATTTGGGAAATAACTTAGACGGAGCAGGTAGGCAGCTTATTATGATTGGTTACTGCTGTAGGGACTATTAAAAATACATAAAGTAGAGTGGAAATGCTGGCTTGAGGTGCACACTGATACAAAGTAGTTAAAAGTGGAGCCCTGAGTCAGTGAGGCTGCTCTTAAGGTAGACGCAAAAGGAGAGGGCTTGCACCAGTAGAGAGCTGTATGGGGTTATGCTTTGTTGAAACCATGGACATAGACACTTATTTTAATTGTCTTAGATCTATAAGACATTTTTTAGCAGAACTTACAGTATATATTGCAGAAATGAGGTCAGGGTGAGATACATGAATCCTGAAGTCATCTGAATAAGAATGACAACTGAAACTCCTGGAGTAGATTTGATTTTGTATTTATTTAGTATTCAGCAAATATTTGCATTGTAATGTTTGAGCTGAGAGCTAAAGGGTGAGTAGGAGTTAACTAGTGAAAGCATAGTGGGGGTGGATAGAATGCTTTAGAGAGAAGAAACAGCATATTTGAAAGTTCTAATGTAGAAAGGAGCATGGAGTATGCAAACAACTTCAAGGAAACCATGGTGGCTAGAGATTGGTTGATTATGGGGAGAGTTAAATGAGTTAAGAAGGGTGTGGAAAAGGGAAGCTCACTGCAAGAACTTGCATGTCATTTTGGTCTTCAGCTTAAAAACAGTGGTAAGTTATTCAGGGCTTTCTTTAGCAGGAAGGAGAGGTGAATTAAAATTATTCTGACTGCATTGTGTGAAGTTGAACAAACATGAATGTGGGGAAATTATTGTAGTATTCTAGGTGAAAAGCAATGGTGCCTTAAATTAGGAAGTGCTAGTAGTTAAGATAAAGAGAAATTGTTGGATTTAAGTTTTGTTTGGGAAGTGGAATGGATAGTTTGTCTACATTTTGGCACTGCTGCAGTTAAGACAACTAAAAATTTCTACAGAGGTTGCCAAATGTCCCTTGGGGGCCAAAATTGCCCCCAGTTGAGAACCATTGGATTAAATAGAGAAGATAATGGGGATTACTCCCAAGTTTTGGGCTTCTACACCTAGATGCAT